CACTAAATGAAATGTTTAAGAAAGAGATCTGTGACAAAAAGAGAGAAAACCGTGCTGAAAATGAAAATCGTGACAAAGAATATCAGACGGATTATCAAAGAGAAAATCGTGACCAAAAAAAAAGAGAGAATATGCGGGGTGTAAATATAGGGCACTTAATTGAGAGGACACAAAAGAACATATTGGACCTATAACACGGCCCAAACCGATCCTTCCGGTGTTACGAGTATAACAATATCCATACCGACCGCAATGCATTAAAATCCTTATTTAGGTTTTGCAGAAGCCATATCGATATATCGTTAACGGAAGAACAAAAATCGTTATTAGATTTACGTGATGGATTTCGCTCCGTCATAGCAGCAGGTGTTTTTCTAGACATTTTTCAGCATTAGATAAATGAAAAAAAAATTGTCCAAATTAAAATCACCGATGAACTCTTATTTTATATTTTATCGATTGGTGTTTCAGAATCCACTTTTATTCGAACCATTATTAGTATGCTTTTACGAATTCGGAATCGGCACCACAAAATAAACAGAAAAAAGGCTATAGAACTATATAAAAGAAGCGTCGATGATCCATTAGCACAAAACGAGTTGGGATATATCTTTGAGTGAAGGAAAAATTACCCTCGCACAAAATTGGCAGCAATATCCAGGTAGTCGGATATTTTGACGATTTGAGAAGAGCTTACTACAATGGAAATAGTCTCGATCAGGAGCTTCGTTTTGAATTTTCTTTTGCCCATCAATCGAATAAGTGATCTTACTAGCGCTAGTGGAAAAATAAATACAAAACTAAAAGTCTAGATACGAACTGTCAATCAGCCATATATTTCATATGCATATACATTGTATTATTTTCTCAACAACTTTCTTTACGTAGTTGGTAGCATCAATCAATCAATCAATCAAATCAATCATATTATAAATATACCGTATCAACTCATCAACAGATAATTAAAAACTAGAAAAAATGATATAACGGAAAGAAAATGAATTAACAGACTCTAAATTCTTTGCTAAATATGGCGAATGAGAATTACATTAGTATGTCGATTGGCTCAAATATAGAACGTGTGCCTAAAAATATTGTGTTTTGTTCAATGATTGGAGGTAAATGAAATTCTTTGCTACAATACTATTCTGAGTATCGACATAATATCGTGTCTTTCCAAATTGAAGGTCGAAGTCACGTAAAACCTGTGCTTGAAATTGGCAGATTATTGATGAAAAGGAGTCATAATGTAAGTCTGTATTTTATATAAAATTCATCTAAAATTTAAATATTCGTATTATCTGGAAAAAATTTCAAGTTTACAATAGTGGCACCAAACGCAAGAAAAACCGTAAAAAACGAATACCCGCAGATTTCACTTTACGATCTTGATCCTGTGATGAAAGAACACAGTTCGGAATCACGAAAACTTTATCAAGAAGAATTCAACATCAACCATTTGCAAATTCTTGCACGGCAATTGGAAGCACATTATTCTCACGTTTTCAACAATTTAAAGCGTGTGGCTTTAGAAAAAAAGGCAGATTTATTGATTTGTGATGTTGTCGCACAGCCTTGTGTTGATGTTGCGTGGACGTTAAAAATTCCGGTAGTTATCTTTGGTGGAGCATTAGGATTAGGTAATTTTATTAAGATGAATTTATAAGAGGAAGAAATTTTTTATTTATTATTATCATTATTGTTATAGTTTCAAAAGCATCTTACAAATCAGACCCAATGTTTGGATGCCACGTTACATTGGAAGGCAAATCTTTTTTCGAGAGATTTCGATGTGTTATCATTCAACATTCACAAACCGCTTTTTATTGGTACAAATCATCTGTGAAATACTTTAATCAAGAACGTATTTCAGTTGGAATTGAACCTGTCTCATATCCTACAGAAAGAACTCGAAACTCTCTTTTTTTGGCCAATACGTTTTTCGGCTTTGAGGTATTTTTTATTCCTACGCGTCAAATGGAATTTTTGATGCTTAGTACTAAATAACTATTAGATTGCAGAAACATTACCTCCACTTTATCAGGTAATATGACAATTACAATCAAATATTTCGTATTCTAAGAACAACTACTTATCATAATTTTATTATTAGGAAATTGGACCAATAATGTATGATTCATATCCTCCATTAACAACATCTCTTGAATCTTTTATCAATTCACATGAACGCATAATATACATCGCATTTGGGGATCGCTTCTATACAACACCTGAGAATAACGGAAAAATACTAAAATCTGTTCTGGAACTTCTCACCACAAAGAATCTCGATGGAGCAATTTGGGCATTAACTCAAACACCAATGACAGATTTTCCATCAACAATCAATCTCCAGAGTGGTATTTCAATAAACACCACAACAATTCTGACGAACTCGAATCCACATATCAAAATTCTTGATTGGGCTCCACAATTCGCTGTTTTAAATCATACTAACGTTAAAATATTTCTCACACATGGTGGTATAGAAAGTATATTTGAAGCATTATATACCGCTACTCCGATGTTAATTATGCCATTGTACGTGGATCAATATGGAAATGCCGAAAAATTGACGATGCAAGGTTGTGCATTGACCGTTTCCAAACTGGCATTAGACGAAAAAGATTTATTCGAAAATATTACGAGACTGTTAACTGATCATTCAATAGCACAAAATTTAAAAAGAATGCAAATATTTGCTAGAATTAATCGTTTAAGAAAGTATCGTGCAGCTGATTTGATAGAGTTGGTTATGTATACCGCAAAACATGTCGAAGGAGCTGGGAATATACCGATTGTAAGTGAGTGGCAAACTGCTGATGCGAGAATTGGTGTTTGGCGCGCGGAAAATTGGGATGTCTGGGTTTTCGCGTCGATTTCATGTTTGCTGCTTGTGGTGACTGCTGGATTGATTGGAATTAAAATATTAAAATTCGCTAATAGATGGATCATAATCCGTTGGTTTTCGAGAACCACAAATAGGAATACGAAAGAAAAGAGTCAATAATCAATATAAACGATACGTATATGTACATGTATATTGCTTAAGAATTTTTTAATGCAAATTCATTAAATATTTGTTACAAAGTCTTCTTTTATTTTATTCTGACATCTAGTAAAATATTTTGATATGACCTGTTGCAATTGTAATACATGTATCACGGCTTGATACATGTAACTAGTCCATATTACAATGGACCATAATATTACAACAGGTTGTAATATTTCAGCAGCCCATAATATTTGTGTAATTCGAAAATTTTCTTTTTGACAATATTATTAATTATTTTTATTGTTATGGAAATAATGCAAATAGAAAGTGAAAATGCAATAATAATAACTCTATCGCTATTGAAAGTTACTCTCACACTTCAAGGCTATTTGTCACATTTTCCGTAGAGCTTTATGCAACTATCACTCAAATTAAATAGAGGAATTCACTAAATTTTCAAATCAGCAAATAGCCAAAATCATAATTGACGAAAAGCGAAAAAATTGTTATGTAGTAATCGAGATGAATTTAGTGATTATTGTAAGTTATATCTTTCAAATACACAGTCAACGTCGATATAACGGACCCCTCCGTTCCTGCCATGCTGTCCGGTAAATCGACAGATCCGCTATAACAGACAAAAATTATGTAATGTAGCTGCTTCCGAAAAATAGATCAAATCCGTTATATCCATCGTCCGTTATATCGAGGTTGACTGTGTATAAAAAATTCACATTTTTCATTTGGTCCGAATAGTGGAGAGTTCTAAGTGATTAAGTAGATATCAAATTCCGTTATTTCTTTATTTGAAATAGTAGTAATATATTAAGATTCCTAGATTATGTCTAAAATTTAAAGTTGTTGACCTATAAGACTTCCTTCAATTCATGATTCATAGAGGCCTAAATTCAATAATTATCCTGGGATTTATAATATACCAAAAAGCATGTTTTGTATTTCATTTCACTTTTATTCAGATAAAATATACCATTTTATCATGATTGCATCAAATAACATTATATAATGCAAACATAACACGTACATAATATGACGTTTTCAAATTTTGATATACGTGTTAAATATTACTTATAATGAATTTTTTAAAATCACCTTGAAATAAACAGTCTTTTGACTTAACGTTTTTTTTTAGTATTATGATAGTTGTTATTTGAAAAATGGACATGGAACTTGATTATGAAAATTTTTATTGTCAAGAAAGTGCCGCTAATGTTATTGTTAATGATGTATGTTTATCCCTCATTTCTTATTGCAATTTCACCTAACTCAAAATCTATTACTCTTTTAATTCTATAATACCATAGAAAACCAGCCACGGCAATAGCGATTATGAGGATGATGAAGAAGACGAGAAACGTCACCAACGCTTTAAAAATGAAAAACGGTCGTCAATAACTGTAAATTTTGACTGTGTAAAGACAGGTTTAGCGGTACAAAGCAATACCAGTTGTGCACTGAATGATACTGAAAATTACAATTCTTTTGGAATCTGCAAAACCATAACCAAGCAAACATCAAAAACTTCATTTAAATCTTTAACTAATGCTATCACCGCCACTGAAAATATATCTACCCAAGTTATGCAAGAAAGAAGAAAACGTAAGATGTTTACCTCCTCCGATAATGAAAAAACACAAAATAGATTGTCAATATTTTCAAGGATTAAGTTTTCAGAACAGGTCAAATCAACTGCCCAGACTTCTATTCTCTCGCGACTTGGGCATGTTAACTCAATCCCTGATAATAATGCTATTTCACTGAATGAATCATTGACAGATATCTTGTATCCACCAGTTTCCAAGAAGTTAAAAGTATCATATAAACAAGAAGATTCATTCGATTATCATGCCGATAATTCTGGATCTCAAATTCAAGTTTCTTTAGAAAGAATAAAAATCGGAATATTTGGCTACTCGAATAAATGTTCGGTAAATCTTGATCCAGAAAATGGAACCTTGACATTATTTTTGGATGGCGAGCAACATAAAGTCAATTTCAAGATTAATTGCCTTGAACAAGTTTGTCTGCAAAAAAATAAAATTTCCTTTTTGTTGAAGCCAAATAGCAAAAGTTTTATTTCTCCGGTATTGTTTTGAAATATTTGAAAAAAGTTGAAGAAGTGATAGTTAGTTAATCTTACTTTTTCTGTACTAGATACGAGAATTTTTTTCTGACGGGATTCAAGTATCTATTGACCGGATAAAGTCGTCATCCAGAACAAATATCGAATTGTTTGCTGAGAATTTGTCTTCTGAATATAAAATATTGTTATTCGGAGAAAGCTTGAGGTATTACAAGAATTTCATAAAAGTATTAAAATGCATCTGATTCAACATTATAGATTTCTTATAGGAATGCTTTGAATACTCTGACAAAATACAATCCAACGGACTTGAAATCATCGATTTTTTCTGAGGTGACTAAGTTTAAGCTTATGATCATTCTCAGCAAACTAAATGCAAATAAAATAAATCTCTATTTCAAATACAGATTGTGTTCATTCTCGAGTTTCAAAACAAAAACCACGTAATCGCAATCGACGGTGCCACAACTCTACCCACCTTCGTCGAACTATTGCGGAAAAAGTTGAATTCAAAGTACATTGAGATTCCATTGATATATCCATACTCAAGAAAAGGAAAGTTATATGTTGATTCTGAAGAAGATTGGGATTATTGCAAACAGTCAGCAATTTCGGGGCAGGCATATAATCCATTTGATGCTTTGATTTTGAGAATTTTGGAGTACTTATATTGGTAATTTTTTATGCACTGAGAAATGTGATTTTTGGGAGATAAACTTTTGCACATTTTCTTTGCTCGACAATTAACATTGTGATATCTGAACATTAATGCTCTAAAACGTTTTTGTAAATTATTGTATCACTTCTTTGAACATTATTACATGTAACTATAAATCGCTAAATTTTTTATATGCATATGATAACATTATATAATCATAGCTAAAAGTGCCAAATGAGGAACTTTCCATAAATATTTCTCAGTAACAAAGATAAATATTGCATTCTCTTAGTAATTGGAAAAGTCAAAATTTTTTGCCGATATCTGTTTAATTAAACACAAAATTTTGACTCATTTAATATAGACCAAATCAAGAAAATAGCGAACTATCCTAATATTTTGCCAATAATTCAAAGTAAAAGTGCAGATTTGATATAAAGAATATAAACTTGGCGAACAAAAGTCATCGGACACTTTTTTTGCGAGATAAATAGTGGGAAACTAATGAAAAAACTAGTATTAATGTTCGAAGAATATAGATTCAACATATTCTGAAATATGTTATGCTAGAATTTTAAGTCTTTTCAATTATTCATCAGCTGGAATATACTAGCGTATGATATTTTACGAAAAAAGTATTTATTGATAGCAAAATTAATGAAAATCATGTTTTATATTCTAAGCTCGTAGTTTTAAAATGGTTTGAAGTGTGTTATATTAAAATTTCAAGTTTTTTTGATTACTGTCTAAAAAGTTTTAACTACAATAAAAATGCATAAATAAAATGATCTGAACATATTTAGTAAGTCAATAATACAATGAAAAACTCATAAATGTTCTAAGCATATAAATTCAAATATTCTTAAATATGCAATATTAAACTTTCATGTTTTTAATTAATCTTTAGAAAACTATATCTAAAGCACATTAAATATTATATTTCAACATTTAATAATAAATTATATACTTTATAAAATAATGGCGAGGAAACTAATGAAAAAAACATGATTTAATATATAATTGAATAGATGCTACATGTTTTGAAGTATGTTATACTTAAATTTAATGTTTTTAATTAAAGAACAACTATAAAACTTGAAATTTTAATATGATTTTTTTATAGATAAATGCTTATCACTTAAACCGTCAGGTTTAGCAGGAAAATTTTCCTGCTATAATTTCATAAATTTATATTTAATATATTTTTACCGAAAATTAAAATATGCTAAAAAAAGTTTGTTTAATCTTAGTTTTAATTATATATATAATAATTATTTTCATTTTTTAATAATTATAAATTTTAAAAATGTTTTATAATAAAATTACAGATTTAATTAAAAAAATCAATCAATATTTTGAGCAATTATAAATTAAAATTACAAATTTTATATTATATTGATTAAAATATGTTATATTTTTATTATAATTTAGAAAAAGAAGGAATTAATTAGAAGTAAATATACAAAAAAAATTTTATAAAATAAAACTAAATGCTTATTATAATAATAAAAAAATATTTAAATAAAATAACAAAATAAAATATAAATACTTAAAACTTGATTAAATGCAAAATAATTATTAATTTATTAAAGTACAAAAAATAAAACTATCAATTAATTAAGATAAATATAAAAAATAAAATCATTAATTTTATTAATATAAAAAATATAAAAGTTATTTTTATAAAAAATTTTAATTAATTAAAAAAATAAGATATAAGATATCTATATTATTTAAGTTTGAGTTTTATAATTATATTTATTATAGCTAAAACTATTTTATATATCTTTTCAAACTATATAAATAGAATAAATTATAAACTAAAAATAAGTTATAAATTATAAAATAAATAGATAAATAAAAATAAATATAAGCTAAAAAAAATAAATATAAATAAAAAATATAAAAATTATATGTTAATAAAAATAAAAATTATAAAATAAATAGATAAATAAAAATAAATATAAGCTAAAAAAAATAAATATAAATAAAAATATAAAATTATATGTTAATAGAAATAAAAATAATAAAAATTATGAGTTTATAATTTAAAGTTAAATATAATTATATAAATAAAGAATTATATTATAAAATTTTGAATAAAATAGAATTTTTTAATATATTCTCTATAAAAATATATATTATATAATTTTTTTAATATATAATATAATTTGTTTTCAAGTTATAATATAATTTGGTTTCAAGTTATAATATATATATTGTTACAGTTGTAACATAAAAATCGTTAATTCCAAAAATAGTCGAAAAACATAAAATATTTAAAAATATTCA